TATTTTGTGTTTATTTCATATGTTTATCATTGAGAATAATTCTTTGACATTCTTGTGAATTCTCACTCATGATTCTTTGAGTAATTGTCTTAGTTTTATTTATCCTTTTTAGATTTTATTTAAAGTTACAGAAACTAATATAACAATATCAATCAGTTATAAATAAGATAGATTAAATTTAACTAATTTATATATATATAAATCAGCTATAAGTATGCTAATTAGCTATAAATAAGATAGGTTAAATTTTAATCAAATTTTAGTTAATTCTTAATATATACTAATAATAATTTAATGATTTTAAACCAATTTTTTACATGCTTGATTTTTTTGATTTTAACCAATATTAATTTTAGATGTTTCTTGTAAAAATTTATTTATTTCTGCATAAGTTGCTTTTATTGAATTTGCTGTATATTCTTTTTTATCTTTATATATCATATTAGTAAAATATTTACTGATATGATAATTTAAAGTATCAATATCCTTTATATATCTTAATACATTTATTAAATTCTTGACTTTTGTAAAATCTTTTAAATAATCTAAATATTTGTGAAAGTAATAGTATTTTTTACTTTAAAAAACCTTTGATAAAATTCAACATTTTTCAAAAGTCTTATGAAAATTTAAGGTAACATTATATGAAAAAAGAGTTTTATTTAATAATTAAATAATTATTAGGAAAATGAGAACTATTGTTAAGTTCAGAACTTTATTTAAACATTTGTGCACTAATCAGCATTGACTCAATTATCAAGTGAGCAAATAATGAAATATCTTATATAATTTTAGACTTGTACATATATAGTTTTTTACTTCTTTTTATACTAATAATTTAATTTAGTTATAAATTAAATATATAGTAAATAATAGCATAATCAAGTGAGTTTATATTATAATATAGTTATTGGATAGGAAGAAATATTACATCAGCCTGAGATGTAAAGTATTTTAATGATATAATATACCCTTCTATTTAATAACTATAATATATCATAATAATAAATATTTACTTCTTTGATTTTTATTAATTTATTCAAAAAATAAATATTAAGATAATTGTATGTTTAAAATAATAAATAAAATAATTAAAAATAAAATATGATTTACTAAATCTGAAAATAATTGAGTATATCTTGCTATATATATTGCTAAACTTTTATATAGTTATACTTTATATAAGCATACTTCTTTATAATTATCCAATTTTGTGAAAAGAATTTAAATAATAATAAATTACTTTTATATAGTTACAATTAATTATAATTACTATTATATGAAATTTTTAACTTATATATCATTTTATTATTAAATTTACCTTTTTACAATCATTATTATTTTGGTTAAAAAATAATTTAAACTAGAATTACAATATGAATATTATACAAATATACTTTTATAGATATTTATGTTATACATATTTAAATAAGAGATTAGATAATTCAATTTTTTGTAAAATGTCTATCACTAAAGATAGTTATCACAATTGAAAAAAGGAGCAATTGAATTATAACTTATAGCGCAATTAAATTTTCTTATAATACAATTAAATTTTAACTCAATTAAAATTTGAAAATAATTATAGGGACCATCTTTATCTATCATCAAAAAAAAAATGATTAATTGTGATTTATAAATTTAAAATTAAGATAATTAAAAATTTATACTTCTATAACAATTACAACTTTATATAATTACCAATTTTTAAGAAATTAAATGGATAACTATATAAAAGACTGATTATAATTACTTGTTTCTAAAAATAATATTTCATAAGATATAAAAGTTATAGGAATAGATAAATATTTTTTATATAAAATTAAGATAAAATATTTAAGCTACTTATATTTATATTCTATTATTTTAAAAAATGTATATTAATTTGCTAAAGTTTAATACAATTTAATGAAAAATTTATTAGAATTACAAAAAAAAAAATAAAGTATATAAAATAATAAAAAATAGCATGAAAAATATGTTAATTCAAAAATTAATTTTTATTATATAAAAATTTTTTTTAAAAAAAAATTAATCTTAGATTATATATAATATAAATCAATTCTTATTAAAATAATTATATATAATTAATAAATTTTTAATTTTATTAAATTTAAAATTTTACAATCAACTAATTTTATTAAACTTGTTTTCAAATCTGAAAATATTAGACCTGATTTTATATTACAATCAATTTAAATTAAATTTAAATTGAATTATATCAAACTGATTTCAATTTTTATAAAGTATAGATGTTAAATTTGAGGTAATAAAATTATGAGAATTAAAAACATTCTTTCACTAATTTGAAAGTTAATCTGTATATATATAAAGGAAATCTTATTTTTAAGCCTCATATCAAACATTCTTATTCTTAAAAAAGTTAACAGTTAGGTCTTTTTAAGATGATTTTTCATTTATATAATCATCCTTTATTTATTATGCATGACTTATATCTAAATAATACAAGTATTAACTTAACTAATATAAAAAAACTCAAAGAAGTTTAGAAATATCTAGTAGAAGTTTTAAGTAAGAAATGCAAAATTTACTTTATAAGAATAATTGTACTATTTTTGATCTTATCTAAAACAAAAATCTTTGATTAATAATGATTATTACATGCTAACTAACTATTTGCACTTTGCATTTGTTTATATTTTTATTATATTCTTAACAGATATAACAACTATTTCTTATTTTTTTGTCATATATAAATAATTTATTTGAAGAGTTATTTAAATTCTGATAGTTTATAAAATGATCAAAATATATAATTGTTATTAGTAAAATAAATTAAAAGATGTAGCAAATAAATATTAGGAAGTATTTTAGTATAATTTAACCACTCTATAATGTGAATTATTAAACATTTTAATGCAGTTTTGCATTTAAGTATAATACCTAAAGATGGATATTACAATTAAAAAAATGGTATAATTGAGTTGCAACTTGTGACACAATTAAATTTTCTTATGTCGCAATTAAGTTGCAACTCAATTGAAATTAGAAAATAATTATGAAGACCATCTTTAGTAATACTTATGAAAACAGATTTTTAATTAAGTCAACAAAGTTTCATTTATTTAAGGTGAGATAATTATCTAAATATGATATTCCATTGAATTGTTATGACTGAAATTGATTTTATCTAAAATTGAAATTTAGACATCCTTTTTATTATCTGAATTCCAACTTCAGAAAATCTATAAAAATTATTTTAATTAATCATAATATGCCAATTTTTTTTTTACAATTTTGTAAATATAGTTAACTTTAAATTTTATATTTTTAAACTTTAGCTTTAGCTGAATTATAATTAAATTTTGTAACATTTATTTATTAAATTTTATAGCATTAATTTCCAATATTTTTTTTTTTTAAAAAATGTTATTTTTTCTTTTTCTTTTTCTTTTTTCGATTTTTTTTTTTTACTTTCTATTATCAATTTTATATTATTATTTATTTTTTTTAATTTTTTTTAATTTTGATTTTATTTTTATTCAATTTTTGACAAATTTGTATTCTTTATTAAAGTTTATTTTTTTATTATTTTATTTTTATACAAGTTTTCGACTACTTCTGATGCTGCATCAGTTAAATAAGTGAATTTATTCATTTTCATTTTTATCTATTTTTTAGGTTTTTTTTTTAAACTTTAGACTGAAAGTGATCAAACCTGATAAAGTAAAAAATAATCATTTAATTAGAAGAACATGTTAAATTCATTCACTTTTAATACAGCAGAAAGTAAATAGAAAAGAAACTTCTACCTTTACGAATTACCTGTATAATTATTCAATTTTGAAGCTGAAGACGAATTTTAAAATAAAATTACTTAAACTTTTTATATATATTAATTATTTTATTATAATAAAGAAAAAATAAATAAAATAAATTATAAAAATTTTATTAAATAAAATAAATTGCTTATATACAGATAATTGATTCTTAATATTACTTTAATTTTAATTTATAAATACATAATTTGTATAAAATTCAGATTTTATCTGAAGTTCAATTTCAGATATCTTAATTTTAGATGGCCTTGTATCTGAAATTCAGATTCCATCTGAAATTGAATTTCAGATATCCTAATTGCAGACAGCCTCGTATCTGAAATTCAGATTCTATCTGAAGCTCAATTTCAGATATTCCAATTTCAGATGGTCTCGTATCTGAAATTAGAATTTAACAATTTAACTGAAATTAAAATAGTTGCACAGAAATTGACCAATAAGATCATGACTGAAATTGGAATTCAGATAACAAAAGGGGTATCTGAAATTGGGACGAAAATCAATTTAGGCTTTTTGAGGAATGGTTGGATAATTAGCGTATTGCAACTTATTTCATGCGTTGAAAGAATAAAACAGTCGATTGTTAAAATTCCGAATATTTCAAGTACGACAGGTCTGAATTAATTGTAGAATTATTGGATTTTCACGTAATTATATAGTACGATGTACACGTTACTTAAACGATTTTAATAAAATTATTCATTCACAAATATTTAAGTTTATTTATTTTCATATTATTGTTTTTACATAATTTCTCACAAATAAAAAAGAGTAAATAAATAAAAAAATAAACTATTTGAATATTTACGTTAAATTCTATTTGGAAAAAAGTTTGACTTAAATCCAAGTTCTATTCTCACATAAAAGAATTCACTAATACAAAACATTTTATGAAATAAAATATAAAATACAACCATCGTATTATGTGAATCGGTTACATATTTTTCACTCTATTCAACAAGTTTCTTTGACATCTTTAAAGGAAAAAAAAAATTATTTAGATAGTGATTAAAAAATAATAAAAATAATAAATTCTAATAAAATTTTTGAACCTTAAAAAACAGTTGATCCTTTTTAGATCCAGATTTTTCAAAAAGACTTAAACAAACAAAAGATGGAGAATAAGTTCTGCATGTGGGACATGTCTTGGCGGTATTTAGTATGAACCATTTTTTTACACAACAGAAACAAAACACATGATCATTGTTTAAGTAATCCAAATTCTTTAGGAGATACAAAGCAAATACCACATATATACCCCTCTTCATCAACCATTTTTGCATTTTGTTCTTTTTGATCTTTCAAGTCGTTTTTCCGAATACGGTTAGTGCTAGTAGAGCTCACTTCATTATTGACGTCATCATGTTTGTCATGTTTATTCCAACATGAATCTCCAAATATACAACGATTTTCCAAGAAATAACGGCAAACCGATGGAGCACTCTTATTTTGATGACGGTTCGAGTTAGGTTTCGACCTATGCAACGAACTTTCCCCATTTCTATGGTTGTATTGCGTATCATCCCATCGTTAGTACTTGAGAACTTGTATCTTATTGTTTGTGCGAAAATGACAACTCGTCCCTCTGTTACAATTTCCTTTAGCAAAATGCCAGCAAATCGGACGGGAAGGATTCGCGTTCGATCTGTAATATGGCATCATCATTATAAGTCTAATAATGAGAAAGAAAAAGAGAAGAGATTTATTGCTATTCAATAGGAAAGTTTAGATAGTGAGTTTATCAGTAGAAGAACAGCAAGTACAAATAAAAAAATAAAAAAAGACGGGCAATTTATATTTTAATTAAGTCTCGTGACTCAATTTTGACCCGAATAAAGTAACAATAACCTAACCTTGATTGTTTAAAACTTTGGGTGTGCAAATGATGAAGCACATGACATTTTGTTTTTGTTTTCTAATGGAGAAATGTCGGACGTTTTTCAAGCTATTATTTATATGTCCCCCACAAAATTGTAGATCTAACTAGCTTTTAAAAGTTTCATTCAATGCCTTAATTGGGTTTATGGTGTATTTACGCCACCAAAATGGGGAATTCATGCAGATGATACAATAATTTTTCGGAGTTTAATTGAAGTCTCATCCGAACGATGTTTATACATTTCATTAGTCCGGAGTGTAAACAAGTGATAAATATGTCCGGACTTAACCGGTTTTCTGTTTCCGATTTAGTTATTAAAAAAATGACAAAGTTTTTCCTTTACGAGAAGTCATTTGAATTTCTCAATTTCTAAGAAAATGTAGAGCTCTTACCTTTGAATAAATAATTTCTTTAAAGTCCATTCGTAATCGCTTTTCGAAGATTTAATTGTATCAGTATTACATAATATTGAAACCTTAATAATCGCCTTGCAACATTTGATGATGATTATGATTTGGAATTTATAACTTTTAGATACTAACCTATAAAATGTTATATGAAATTCAGAGATCGTCAAAATGTCTAATTCATAATTTTTTTTTTTTTTAAAGTGAGCACTGGTAGAATAGTTAATCAATTATATCATAAATGGATGGCACCCTCCATCACGAATCCAAAAAAATAAAAATAAAATAATTAATAATCAAAAAGTAAAATGTAAGAAAGAACTTAAATGTAAGAAAAGGCGCAAGATTATTTGTTGTCGGCCCGAAAACGAAGAATATGGAAAGAGTTATATACAATAGAATAACTTAAGCAAGTTAATTCGTTAATAACTTATATAGTTCATTCTTTAAAGTTTTCAATGACTTAAATGTTTATTATTATCGAACGGAAATACTTTGTGCCTTACAAGCTAAAGTAGTAATAATAAATTATTTATCTCGCTTTAACCAGATTTAGGTACAGATCGAAACACGCAATTTAAATAATTTTTTGATTTCTATGTAATATGCCAAAGTATAGTGAATTCACTCTCGTATATTATGAATTTTACTGAAAATTTAACCGGTTAAGGTTTTTTAGGCCAGTTCAACCTCTAATATGCTAATGATATCGACCTCACAGCAAGTCAATCTGGTTAAATATTGATTTACGCTTGTCCATTAAGAAATATCAATTTATCAATCGTTATATAACAAACAAACATTTGAAATTTATAATAACCCCATACTAAAAGATTTAAAAATGGCTAATTTAAAATGGCTAATTAATACGATGAACAAAATATTGTATACATATACAGTCGGCTCTGGATATAACGATCCTGTTTATACCGAAAATTCGTTATACTGAACCATGTATTACAGAACCGATTATTTTATAATTAATCAGGCCGGATATAAAAACGTTATATACCGCATCCGAACTAATCTTAACCGAACATATATTTGATAAACCGAACGATAATTGAAAAATTTTACACTATAAAAACGCGGATAATCTTATTTTGCCAAACGCAATTATTCTTTCTGCCGTACAAAGCGTGAAATTTGTGAAATAAAAGAGAAACAACCCAAACATTTCTAATGCTAGTCTTGCACAGCAATACCAACTTTTAATATAAATTTTATTGTTACGAAGTGATCACGTGTTTGTATTTTTATTGGTCAATTTTATATACGGTATAAAACATAATTATCATATAGCGAGCTTACTTTATACCGAACCAAATCTTCTGAAACGGCAGGTTCGTTATATCCAGAGTCGACTGTTATATCAAAAATTTAGTTAAAATAATGAATGATTCCCAATTAAAAATGAATTATAATTTTATGTTGCGATAATTGTAATAATATACAATTATAAACTTCTAAGTCTTAATCCAATTAAAATTTTTTGAGTTGCTTCCATTGAATCACATCTCTTCTGGGAATCCTATTTAATTTAATTTGAAAATATAAATAATTAAATACTTGAGTGGTTAATACTTTTATTAAAACTAAGTAAATGGTTGGTGAATCATTCATATATGTTAAAAAAAAGTTAAAATAAAGATTTAAAATCGATATTTTATGATTAGTAATTCTTTAAAAACGTTCGCAGAATTTTTTTTTTATTAAGAAATTTAACACAATAAGTTGTCGATCTTACCTATTTTGCAACATAAAAAAAATTTATTTATTTATTTGTCTAAATATCCGTAGTCATTAAAAATAAGTGCATTAACGTCGAAAGGCTGGTGGTATGTTGCTTCTATATAATTTTTGATGTCATTATTATAGCTTATAATTTATGTTTTATGCTTATGCATTATGTTAGCAATCAACTTCTCTAATGAATAAAAAGTAGGCGGATTTTCAGTATCGGGGAGAAGCGCCGAATTTAGTAAGTATTTTAAAAAAAACCACCTTCTGCGCTTTTATTTATTTGGTGGAGTCGGGGCGTAGTGTCGAATCGGATAAGTATTTGATTTTTTTTCTTATATATTCTTTTTTTCTTTTCTTTCTTTCTTTTTTTTTTTTTTAGGAAATTTCTTTCGGGATTTAATTGATTACTTTGATCACAGTTAAAAAATGCGTTTTTACTATTTTTATTTTTTTTTTAATTTCATTATTTGTGTATCATCATTATTTAGGAAGATTCGGCAATTTTTTTATTTTTATTTTTTAAATTCATTTTTATCTTTTTTTACTTTCACGTTCGATCCAGGTCGCTGCTATTACTTCATATTTTTTATTATTATTATTATTATTTTCATTAATTTCATCTTTCAACATTATGGGCCACTGCAATATAAATTTTTTTTCTTTTGGATTGATTCGTATGGATTTTTCCGATATTTCGGGTTTTTTATTTTTATGTATGATGGTTTATTTATTTTTTTATGCTTAATTAAAAAAAAGATAGGTCTTTTCAGTTTTATTCAAATTCATTTTTTTTTTAACTATAGCTCTTTCGGGATTTATCGTTTCGGTTTGAGCCTTTAGATTGATTTATAGGTAGGCCTTTTCTCTATATTTTATTAACTGTTGATAATTTAATCCATTAGCGTGATGAAGTCACCGCAACTCTAACTATTCTGGTTAATATTTAAATTGTTTTCGAAATTTTTTATAGGAATTTATTTATTTTTAATTTAATTTATTTTGTATAGACGTTTGGATCGCCACGGGATGCATAAATTTGCGCACTTTAGGTTCCTTTTTCAGGTTGTTTCACTTACAAAAGTTCTGGACAGCGTGTTATGGTGGAATTATGACTCAGGCCTCCTTAGTTTACATTACAAAGAAATGATTTTTCTAATTAATGATGGATTAGTAGATTAGTAATAAAAAAAAATTGTTGAATAAAAAAAATATATATTACTGCTGCGTCTTTTATAGCGTATACGAAAGGTTTTCTTGAAAGTGCAAAACTTTCCTCGGCAAAATTTCAACGTCAATTAAAAAATTATTGTTCTTTTATGAAAGGAATATGGCTTGTTGTCAATTTAAGCTTCATTAAAATGAAAGAAATTTCATTGTAAATGCATTCAAAAGAATATTATTTTTTTAATATTTGTTTATTATAAATCATCATTAAAAATCTAATTATTAAACTTTTTTTAAATTTAATAACTTAGTTATAATTCTCATTACTTACGATCAATAATTAAAAATAAAGTTGAGCCGAATTGTCAAATATTTTTTTTTTTCTGATTTCATGATATAACATTATTTTTAAGATCAAATGGTTAATTAATTTATTTATTTCTCTTTAGGACGAATTAAGACCCGTCATAATCAAGGTGAACTTTTTTTTTATTAATAAACTAAAAATAATCAATACCGGGATACGAATTTTGACTAACTATATTAATTCAGGTTGTTAAAAAAAAATTTTAAAACATTCGCTAGTGCATAATAAAACAACTTATAATATCGCTTTATTCATTCTAGAAACCTCCATTCCTTCGATAGTAAATCTCATAATAAGTTTGGTTGGGTATTACACACGCATGTATAGTATGTTTCGGATCCTATGCGGATTTGCAACTGTCAACCGATCAATAAATCATTTAACATAAGTTTACGAAGAATGACATATCTGGATAAATCTGGAACAACTGTTGCGGGAAGCCTTCGTCATGCAAAATTAAGTGACATTTGTTTGTGGGTAAAGCGTTTATGGAAAGTAATCCCCAGACGAGGTTATTTTCAAGTCTTTTATAACGTATAATATCACATTCTTTACACAGATCGATGGGAATAGCAAGCTAATTATAATTATGAAGAAAGCGTTGATGGTAATGATGACGAAAATGGTGATGGCATTAGTGCGCTGTCAACATAGTTTATCAAAACTATATATAGTCCTATAGTATTAGAGATTTTTTGACGATCATTTTAACTTCGGGCTTTGTGAGCCAATTTTCTAATAAATTTCTAATAAAATAACCGAAATCTTTAAAATTTAATAACATGTTCTCTAAGTAACGCAGTAAAGTTGAATGGTTACATGATAACTTAAAGAAACATAAAATACCTTGTATTTTTTCAAAACTCACGTAAAAAAAGTTTTATTGTTTAATTTATTAATTTCGGAGTATTAATGAATTTTTTTAAAACAAAGCAATCTATTTTGTGAAAGAGACAGATATTTGGAGTATTTTCGAAAAAATCTGAAATGAAAATGATAAGAAGGATCCAGTGTTATTAAAAAAAGAAAATATAGCTTCGTTAATAGTAAATTTATTATAAAATAATTTAAATTATACTATAAAATAGCTTGATATAAA